GGGGCCTGCTCTGAGCTGTGCCTGGCAGCTCCCAGCAGGGCCCTTTGCAATAAACCCCAAATTCCAAGCCCTGGCTTCAAAAATCTCATCTCCCTGCATCCCCACCGTCCTACCCTGACGCTCCTGCCATGAACTTGTGCTGCATTGCCAACAAATGCTGGATTAACAGCTCGGGGCTAATTGAGTTTGTGCCTTTGATATCTGACTTCACCTTGCTGTCATATGATTTGTCAGTCACTCTGTGCCTGAGTGATATTTAGCTTGCAAATATTATGATCTCCCCTTACTGCCAGGCTTTTGTTTGTTCTTGTGCTTTGCCAAGTGAAACCAGCTGAGAGTGTGTGAGCTGCAGCTCCCTCAGACCAGCTCTGACCACAGAGAAGAGTGGAAATGAAAATATTGCCAGAGTTACAAAGCCCCTAAATGATATCTGAATTAAAAATACTATAAAACACAGGCTAACAAAGACCCATAAATGGCATTTTAATTAAAAATCCCATAAAACACAGGCTAACACAGTCCCCTAAATGATATTTGAATTAAAAGTTTCCTAAAACACAGGCTAACAAAGGTCCCTAAATGATAAGTGAATTAAGTCCTATAAAATACAGCTTAACACAGCCCCTTAAATGATATTTGAATTAAAACTCCTATAAAACACAAGCTAACAAAGCTCCCTAAATGACAGGTGAATTAAGTCCTATAAAACACAGGCTAACACAGCCCCCTAAATAATATTTGAATTAAAAATCCTATAAATCACAGGCCAACCAAGGCAGGTTTGGAGCTGTGCTGGGCAAGGTGCTGCTGCTGGGAATCTGATGCTGCACAAGTGCTGCAGAAGATAAAATTAATCACTATAAAATTAACCCCAATAAAATTAATCCCTATAAAATCTCTGCTCTGGCTGCTCCTTGGCCATTGTCAGCATTTTTGTGGGGTGTTCTGAGCCCATCCCAGCCCCTGATTCTCTGATTTTCCCCCCAAAACTGGGGTTTTTAAAGCTGCTCCCTCAGCCAGCTGCTGCTGCTCCCCTTGTTGTTGTTCCTGAGGATAAATGGAGGTTTTGGTTTCAGGGCTGCCATTGGTTTTTACAATGTAATCAAATATGAAAACAAAATGTTCTCTGTGCCTGTGACGCAGCGGAGAGGAGAGAGAGGTCAGCATGGGCACCTTTGGGGTGCTGCTTTTATTCCCAGAAATTAAAAATAAAATACATTTATCCATCACACAGCCTCTGCTGAGGCTTCAGAGGGTGAGGTGTGATGTGAAACTTGAGAGGAATTAAAGCTTGAAGTGTTCAGGATGGTGAAGTAAATTATTCCAAGTATTCCCCTTGAATTGTGGTGTGGAAATATTGTGGAAATATTGACCAGGTAGCTGCAGAAGGAGGAGCAGAAAAGAGTTTCCTCTTTTTTGCCATTTTTTTGGAGGTTTGAGTGGGAGAGCAGCAAGCTGGAAACTGGTTTGAGTTCCCTTGTGCTAATTATTTGGAAAAAAAATTAAATTTCACTGTTGTTGCTTGCTGCCCAGTCCATTTAAACCTGAATTGTTTGATTTATGATGGTTTGAGTTCCCAGGTTGTGCAAATACTGACCAGGTGGCCGTAAAAGAAGGAGCAGAGAAAAATTTCCTATTTTTGGCGATTTTTTTGAAGGGTTGAGTGGCAGAACAACAAACTGAAAGTTGGTTTGAAGTTCCTTGGTGCTGATTATTGGGAAGAAATGATTGAGTTTCAAGCTCGTTGCCTAAATCCATTTAAACCTGATTTGCTTGTTTTCTGCTGCTTTTCTTTCTCAGATTTCCATGAGTGCTATTGTGAAAATATTGTAAAAATATTATAAGTAAAAAAAATAATAGAAGTAAAAAAAATATTATAAGTAAAAAAATACTGAGCAGGTAGCCATAGAAGAAAGAATATTAAAATATTATGAAAAATATGAACTATTATGCAAATGAAAATATATGGAAATATGATAAAAATATTGACCAGGTAGCTGTAAAAGAATAGAAAAAATTTCCTTATTTTTTCCATTTTTTCAGAGATTTGGCTGGGAGAACAACAAGCGGGAAGCTGATTTTATTGGGGAGAAATCACTGAGTTTCATGATTGTTACTTGCTGCCCAGCCTGATTTAAACCTGATTTATCAGAGTTCTGCTGCTTTTATTTCCCAGATTACCAACAAAATAATCTTAAAAATATGAAATATTAGGAAAATATTATGCAAGTGTAAATATTGACCCGGTAGCTATAAAAGGAAAGAAAAATTTTCCTTATTTTTTCCATTTTCTCAGCAAGTCGGCTGTGAGATGAAGAGCCTGGAAAACTTTGATTTTCCTTGTGCTAATTTTTTGGGGTGAAACCATTAAAAATGAGCGTTGCTGCCTGCTGTCCGGGCTGATTAAAGCAGATTTGGTTAATTTGGGATGGTTTATTTGCATTTCCCAGATTACCTGGCCAGCCACGGGCGCCTGAGCGAGGCCGAGGCGCGGCGCAAGTTCTGGCAGATCCTGTCGGCAGTGGAATATTGCCACGGCAGGAAAATCGTGCACAGGGACCTCAAAGCTGAGAACCTCCTGCTGGACAACAACATGAACATCAAAATAGCAGGTATTCCACTTGATTTTGATAGCATTTTTTTATAAAATCCCCCTTTGGTGCTGCCTGAGATTCCGTCGTGGTTTTCCACGTGAATTTTTCGCCATGGTGGGTGTCAAAGTCCATCCAAATTTCCAATATTAACTTCCAGAAAAACAAAAAAAAAACCAAAGAAAAATGATTTCATTATAAACATTTTATAATAGCTATATACATTATACATATATTATTAATATACATTATATATATTATTAATATATATTACTATATATATTAATTATATATAATATATAGACCTTGTAATATATATAGACATTATAATGTATCTGGACATTATAATAGCTATAGACATTATATATATATTATATATAATGTCTATAACTATATAGACATTATATATAATATATATAATGTCTATATATTTTCTATATTAATAATATATATAATATATAGAGACAATATATAGAGACATTATAATAGTTATAGGCATTAGATATATATTAGCAGTATATATTGTTATATATATTAATAATATATATAACATATATAGGCATTGTAATATATATAGACATTATAATGTATCTAGCCATTATAATAGTTATAGACATTATATATATTATTAATATTATATATATTAATTATATGGAATATAGAGACATTATAATAGTTATAGGCCTTATATATATATTAGTAGTATATATTGTTATATATATTAATAATATATATAACATATATAGGCATTGTAATATATGTAGACATTATAATGTATCTAGCCATTATAATAGTTATAGACATTATATATAATATATATAAATATGTATTAATTATATATATAATATATTGAGACATTATAATGTATATAGACATTATAATAGTTATAGACATTATATATAATATATATAAATATGTATTAATTATATATATAATATATTGAGACATTATAATATATATAGACATTATAATGTATATAGACATTATAATAGTTATGGGCATTTTTTTGTGGGTGTCTTTAAAGCTGCCAGATGTTCAGGTTAAAACAGAGTTAATCAAATAACTTCTTTCAACATTAAGGAAAAAAAAAAAAAAAAACCAACTCAAAATGGGAGCTTATTGATTTTTTTGTTCCTTTTTGCATGCATGATTTCACTTTAATTATAAATTTAGACACAGCAGATGTTGCTAGCAATAGAAATCATTTTCATTACAATTCCACGGATCCTTCCATGCTGCCTTTAGCCCAGAGAGGCTGGAGATGGGTAAAATAGAGAATTTCTTGATTTGGGAGGCTGTATTCAGTCTGAGGGCTGCCAGTCACCTGCCTAACACAGGAATTCAGATTTCTGCTTGTTTTCCTCTCAGCTCCTGCATCCTGAGCTTTTCCTGCCCTGGATGTCCTGAGCACTGCAGGGATGTAAAAATTACCCCCAGAGCATCTCAGGAGAGCCAGGAGCTGTTCTGGCATGGGAAATTTCATATTTAAGTGATAATTTGGGGTATATCAGCTCTTTTCCTGCTGAATTCCAGGACTGAATTCCTGCCTAACACAAGAATTCAGATTTCCAGATTGACCTCTCCTTGTTTTCCTCTCAGCTCCTGCATCCTGAGCCTTTCCTGCCCTGGATGTCCTGAGCACTGCAGGGATGCAAATCCCTTGGGAGATCATCTCAGGACAGCCAGGAGCTGTTCTGGCACTGGGAATTCACATTTCAGTGATAATTTGGGGCAATTTCAGCTCTTTTCCATAGGAAAGGCTCTGGACCTGAGGTTCTCTCTCAGGAGCTCCACCTTGGTTGCTCCCAGGTGAACCGGGGGCAATTTCAGAATTTCCCTGCACACTCACCTGATTTTCCATGCTGGACTGAGCTCCTGCCTTGTGGAATTTGCAGGCAACCCCAAAATGGGAAGGGATGAGATTCTTGCCTCCATGATTCAGAGGGGCTGATTGATTATTTTATGATATATATTATATTAAAAGAAAACGATGTATTAGAACTATACTGGAAATGGGATGAGGAGATTCCACCAGCTCTGTCCTGCACGGAGTTAATTACAGGTGGGCTGTAAATGAGCCCATGGACTGGTTCCTCCGTGGATCTCAGTCCTTATCAGGTTGATAAGAGCTCTCCATGTCCAGCCTGGCTGCTGAAGGAGCTGGAGGAAAGTTCAGGCTGCTGGGAGCTTTGCAGTGATTTGTGCCGAGTCAGTGGTTGGGTTTTTCAGTGCAGAGGAGAGGGATGACGAGCTGCCCTGGGTTTATCTGGGGTTTTTGGGGTTATCTGCTCTGTGCTCATCCCTGGAACAGCCTCTTCCAGTTGTTCATCGTGCTCATGGCTCATTTATCAGGCTGGGGAAGGGCAGAGGGCAGCCAGGATCCCAGCTCTGATAGCTGAGGTTTTCCTCTGGTTTCAGGTCGTGTAGGAATTGAAAAAAACAGCGCAAAAACTGATGAATTATTTTGATAAAGCTCTTCTTAGCTTCCAGTGGGCCTCTTGGTTTGTTCTGCTGCTTCCAAGGCTTTTATTGAAGCTTTTTGCTCCTCAAGAATGCAACATTTTTATCAAACACTCAGACATGCACAAAGTCACTTCTCTTGGTTCTTTCTGCTGCTTCCAAGGCTTTTATTGAAGCTTTTTGCTCCTCAAGAATATGACAGTTTTTAGTCAAACTGAAACAAATTGAAACATGCACAAAGTCACCTCTGTGTTTCAGCCACCAGGAGAATAAACTGACATTCAAAAATGTCCCAAAACCTGTGGGTTTTGCCACCTCTGATGCCTGAGGCTGGACTGAAATCCAGTTTTGGGTTAATATTGCTCTACAAGGACAGGGACAAGCAGAATTTTAAGGATCTTTTCTCTCTAACTGGACAACAGGCAGGGGACGAGTAAAGAATTTGAGGTGAGAGCTTTGCTAGGTTTATTTTGTGAAAGATATGAGGTAGTTGGGATTAAAGCCCTCAAATTTCAGTGGAAGTAGCAAAATTGTGCTAAAATGTCCATTAGAAGGGGGAAGGTCCATTGGCAGGGGAGGAATTCCCTGCCAGCTTTAATGTGGAATTTGTGCTCAGCACTGGCAGGGCAATTCTGCCTGGTTATTCCCAAAGTTCAGCAGCTGCATTATTGCCATGTCCTTTGGTTTTGCTGCTTTTTGAGGGCATCATCTGAGGCATTTCAGCTCTCTCTGAGCTCCACCAGCCAGAAATCCACCCGTGAAACCCAAACCCAGCTCGGAACGGGGACCCAGCTCCCGTTTTTGTTTCCAGCCCCAGATTGAGGTGCTGCAGGGAATTGTGATGCCCTGCAGCTTGCAGCAGCCCAGGTAGGCAGGGACTGTTATTTTGAAGGAGGCTGGAGCTGCTGCTGGACAGGGAAATGTGCATTGACGTCAGGAGAGGCTGCTCAGCCCTCAGCCCCCGAAGTGGGTCAGGTTTGCCCGCTCATACCTTGCCTTTATCAGCACCTCTGTGCCCATTATCTGCCAGGCTCACGTTTCTCCTCCGACAAAAGCTCCCTGTGGCTCTCTGCAAGGCAAGGCAGATTGAGTTCTGCCCCTGGTTTTAGGAGAATGGATTAATTATAGCTCTGGAGCTCCTTCTGGGAGGCTTCTGGAGGCACCAGGGAGAGGCTCGGCAGGAGCTGCAGTTCCTCTGCCGTTCCTCACGGTGCACACGGGGCTGGAAGCTCGGGCTGGTTTTCCCATTTTTAAGGGGAAAACAGATTCCATTGGCGTGATGTGCGCTCGAAAAAATGATACCTTCGAAATTGAGGATTATTCTGAAGGGGGTAATGAGATTGAGAAACCAAATACCGCAACTGTGCAGAGCCAATATTTGCAGATTGCACAAACACAGAGTTTATTCAACTGAACACAATGCTGCAAATGATGGCCTTTTTTTGGGCTTTGTGTTGTTTGGTTTTTTTTTTTTATTTTAACGTGCAGATTCAGGGAAATGTTAAGGAGATCACTCCATTATATAATCTCAGTCCTCTGGTAATGAGCCCAATTTCAGTCCTTTTAGAATTCTGTGGCTGGCATGTGTTTGTTTCATTTTGGTTTTTTTTCAGGGCTGGCACATTTTTTCCCTCGAATATCAGCGATCTTTCCTCTGGAGTGAGACATTTTTGGGGTTAAAAATGACCACTTTGGATCCAGAATGGCTGTGACAGAGCAGCAATGGCAAAAGAGGAACAAGGTGGAAGGGGGAGAATGAGAGACTGATGATTTTTGAACTGAATCCTGGCCACTCCAAAAAATGGGGCAACTCAACTGACAGTGCAGTAATTAAAAATTGAGGAAGCCCCATGGAGCAAGCATCCAGGATCCTGACTAAATCCTGATTTTTTTTTTTTTTTCTTTGAAAGGGTTTTCATGGATGTTATCCATGCTGGAGTGCTTACAAATTGTTTCCCAGCCATTTGTGTGGGGAGAATAATGGAGACAAAAGGGGTGAGCACAAGAAGTTGTGTCCCCTAACAAATAACGCTGATCTCCCCCACCCAGGGAATTATTTTGTCCAACAGCAGAGCAGAGTTGGGTTTTTTAAAGCTAAGAGCCAGTTGGTGACATGCAGAGCACTGGTTTAATTCCTGTATCACATGAAGAAGCCCAGTGCCAGTGAGGAGGTGTCTGGCAGTGCTTTGTGCTGCTGAAATTCAGATCTGAAGGATTCTGGTGGTCCATTGGTCATGAAAAGGGAAGGAATTGGAGCTTTAGAAGTGCAGGGCTGAGGCAGAGTGGGGAAATCGCGGTCCAGGTGCACAGGAGAGCACTGCAGGCTCAGGAATTCCCTCTGGCTGTGGCTGCTCCTCCTGGTAGCAATTCCTGGATTTTCCAGTGAAGCTCAGTCGTCTGTGCTGTCGCACAGAGCCAGCCAAGAGCTGCTCTCCAGCCAGTTCAGCACTGCAAGTTCTGCCCTTCTCCTGCTCTGAGGGGCCAGCAGCACCTCCAGGCTGTGTCCTTGCTCCTGAGGTCCGGAAATAAAACCTTTCCGTGTCACAAAATTCATCATCTAAAAATATTAATAACATAAACCTGGGACTTCTCTTGCATTGGCTCTGTTCTTTCTGCTGCTCACATTTCTTCATGTTTCTCTTTGGTGACCAGAGTTAAAACCATTATGTGTCACAAAATTCATCCTCTTAAAAAATATTAATGGCATAAACCTGGGGATTCTTTTACATTGGCGTTTTGCTGCTCAGATTTCTTCATGTTTCTTTTTGGTGACCAGAAATAAAACCTTTATGTGTCACAAAATTCATCATCTAATGATAATAATAGCATAAACCTGAGGCTTCTCTTACATTGGCTTTTTACTGCTCAGATTTCTTCATGTTTCTCTTTGGTGACCAGAAATAAAACCTTTATGTGTCACAAAAATCATCATCTAATGATGATAATTATATAAACATGAGGCTTCTCTTACATTGGATTTCTTCATGTTTCTTTTTGGCGATTTCTCCAAAGAGGTGGCTTTAAATCCCAATCTGGACAGGCAGAGAATGTCACTTTTTTTAGGATTTGAAATCCTTGTGCTCCCAAGCAGGTCACGCTTTCTTTAGCTGTGCTTACAAATAAATGTTCTTGTACTTGTGAATCTGATAGGAAGATTTATGAGGGTGGCACCCGAGGGAGAGCTGCAGCTCTGAGATAAGAACCTGATGTTTATCTGCACTGCGAGGATGTTGAAAACCTGACAAATCCGAGATAAGTGAGGGCAGAAATCAGATTTAAGGACACCTACACGGGGTGGCAGAATGCTCCTGGGGAGAGCAGGAATGGCTCCGTGCTTCTGAGGCATTGTCACCGTGGCC